CTGACCTAACCATAAGATTTCAGACCCATAGGAATTAATTAATTCTGCTGGGCTAAAGATAATTAGGAAGAATTAAAGAACACAACCATGATAGGTTGAGAAAAGAAAAAAGATTATGTAATCAGTGTAAATACACAAAGAGAAATAAAACAATCTTTAGAAGCGAAACTACAATTTCATCAGTCTGGCTGGCCAATTGCAGAAAAAACAGCTTATGTGTGTCATTAAACGACCAATGGAAAGGAGATAGCGTCTGGTCTAAAACTGAGAAAAAACAAACCTCATTTTCTGATCAGCGCCCTCACTGGCTGAGGACTCTTTAGGAGCCGGAGGGACTTCATTACAAGCTTCAAAAGCAAACTTCTTCCCGTCTTCCTTGCTATCTCTGGCTTCGGGGCTTGGGGCTTCCGTGGGCGCTTCCGCGACCTCCTCGCTAGAGGCCTCCGCGTTCTCGGAGGCCGCGCTACTCTGCTCAACTGCCGGCTCTGGCCCTACAGGCTCACAGTCCGTCCTGCCGCCATCGCCCGGCTGCTCCACGGGCTCCCTTTTCACTACCGCTAACAGGCTGTCTGCCTCGCCCGCCTGAGCGTGTGTTGACTCGCTGGCCAAATCTAAGTCACCCTCCTCCGGATGGGCGCTGTCAAAAAGGTCCTCTTCCTCCGCAAGCTTTCTGTCTGGCCCCACGCTACTTGTATCCTGTGCAAATGGCTGCTCCAGCTCGGAACCTTCTTCTTTTCCTGGCTCAGATTTACAAGTTTCCCCCAAAATGTCGAGTATTTTCTCATTTTCTACGGATTTAACAGGAATAGAATGGCACAAGGTTTAATTACCAGGGAAATAAAGCAATCACAAATGTGGAACGGGCACGGCTGCCACACTAACACGAAGAGAACTGCTAGCTACACAGAGATTGGAAAACCCGCGGGTACACAAGGTTACACTGGTTACGCTACCTGCGCTGCGACCTCTAGCAAGCCTCTAGCTACACGGGAGAGAAAAGCATCCCAGAGATTTAACCCCCAAAACCTTCTGGCTGATTCTTGACAGTCTTCATTCTGTCGTCGTTTATATATGACTCTTCCAAATTTAGCTTCCAAAGTCCAAGTTGCTTAACTGAATGTATCACCATTCACTGAACAGCTCAATTTCCAAATTTCTTTGAATTTCTTTTAACAGAACAGTCCAACATGAAAACCAGAATCTCTTCCATCGGTGCTCTGAGATATTTGCAGTCCAGAAAGTGAATAGTGTTTGGAATTCTCATGAAGACACTCTTTCCTCTTCTGGAATCCAGTTATGTCTCAATGTTTTAAAATGTATCTCCCTACCACTACCTGTGCTGCCTGAATTAAAAACCACACGATTAAGCTATGGCCCAATATCACAAGATCTGTTTGTGGGTCCAGAGGTACCAGCTCTCGAGAGGCATGCAAACTCTTTGGACATATGCGGAAATGCCGTTTATATTTAACAAGGCATGAGACAGTCTCATCTCACTGATACATTTTGTAAAATGAGAATTGGCCACTTGTACAGATCTGGTGATATGGCTGGGTTTCCAATCTCTATGATCCTGGTAGGTTCTGGATGTAAACCTTCAGAACAATGTATACTACAGTAAGGCAACTTTTAAAAACCAAAGAATTCAAATTAGAGAAGGTGGAAAACTAGAACAGTTCCAAACCCCCACTGGTAAGTTTTCCATTAACAGTACCTGGCTCCAGGGAGGGCTCTTCGATTTCCTGCAACAAAAAAACTTAAGTAAGACTGTGCCAGACAAATGACACCTACAGTATATCACAACTGAAAACTAGATTCACTAAAAAAGAAACTGAAAAAACACAGACTGGGAAACTCACAAATCCGAGAGGAGGGGACACTGCCTGTTTGAGGAGCCACCTCACCTGCTGGCAGACACTTCACTCAGCCCACCCTCCATTTAGTCTCTCTCTAAGGGCCTGAGATCTGGTCACAGTTCATGGGAAGAAGTGATCACACACCCCTGTTTGTTCCCAAAGCTGGAATTCTGAAATTCAAGGGAAGTAATGTTTTCTGTTTCCTAATTTAGTGTCTAGTAAAATGCGTGGCATCTATCAATCACTTTTTCACTTAGCTTTCTGAAAATTTGAAAGACTGAGGGCATACGGGCACAGGTGGTCTGACTCTGCTCTTATTTTGCATGTGTGCCGCCCTGGCCACCTGAATACCTCTGGTATTCACTCTTCTGATCAGTGTCCCCACTGGTCAATTTTATTTTTTTTTTAAGTCGGCATCTCACTCTGTCACCCGGGTTGGAATGCAGTGGCACGCTGCTCATGGCTACCACAGCCTCAACCTACTGGGCTCAGGCGATCTTTTTTGCCTCAGTCTTCTAAGTAGCTAGAACTACAGGCACAAGCCACCACACTCGGCTAATTTTTTTATTTCTTGTAGAGATAGGTCTTGCCAAGTTGCCCAGGCAGGTCTTGGACCCCTGGACTCAGGCAATCCTATAGCCTCGTCCTCCCAAAGTACTGGGATCACAGGCATGAGCCACCACGCCCGGCCTTCCCACTGGCCGGTTCTAAATGTCATTCAAACTCTTTCCACGGAGCCCTGTCCATTCAGCCTAGAGCTGGTCCTGGTCTACAGTGTCTGGCTTTAGTACCCAATTATATCTGTCTACACCTTGCTATCACTTACAGTGAGCTCTTGTCCCTCTGTGGCCTCCAGCCTTCAGCCAATGGCTTCCCACACCATCTCCCTCCCCAACAGGCCCATCCTGGCAAAGTGATACATAAGACTCAGCATTTATCTTGGGCCGTCTCCTCTAGAAAGGATTCTCCAGGGGCTCCCTGTCTAACCTAATTCCAGGTGGTGCCCCATTAAGGAAAGGGCTCTTCTCAGGTAGTCCCCAGGCTCCCATGCACACAAGGTACCTTACTCGGGAAGTGCAGCCCACACGGATGAGCACTGACTAGGTTTCCGGTTAAACGTAGCATCTTTCATAGACATACACTGGTCATCAGACAGCCCCAGGAGGCTGGCACTATCAGCTCCCCCACTTCTTTCACAGGTCTCCGAGTAACTTGCCCAAGGATATGCCACAGGCAGGGAGCAGAGACAGGCTCTGAGCAAGGGTCGTGTGATTATGAGTCTGCTTCTAACCATCTGTTCAAACCTCCTTCCAACGCCGCTTACATGTGTACGTCACCTTGAGATGGCGGGTCCTTTGAGGACAGGGCACACCTTTACTTCTCATGCATCTCTGTAATCTGGGTAGTTAACACTACACCTAACACATCACAGGTGCTTCACACATACCAATAAATGGATGTGAACGATTTGCACTTTCCACTGGGAACAGCCCTGCTATCCTCAGATGCTCTAAGAAATCAGACATTTCTTGTGGTTTCTAACTTTATCTATTTCTTTCCCACGTACCTTATCCCATGAGTGAAATTAAGACTTTATGACAAAAGCAAATTATCTTGGCAAAATAATTCTCTAGAAAGAAGTGAACATATTCCTTTGTCTCTGGAAGGGACTGTGTATTTTCCATTTAACATGGGAGTTTTTGACCTAGAAAGACATTAGAGAAAATGACAAGCTTTGGTTCCTCCTTTCCTTTCTGAATCAGGAATGGTTGTGTCACTTTGCAGGTAGACAGACACATCAGCTCTAAAGGAGAGCTGGGCTGCACCAAGTTTTCTTGAGGTTCGTACCCTCCTCAAGGCTGTAGTTCTGGCTTTCCAATATCTCCCTTGCCCCTGCCAGGCAGAAGCAAATGGAGATCTTCTGAAAGGTGATTTCTAATAAGAACAGCATTGGGGACATTAAAAAAAAAAAAAAAAAAAAAGGCCTCACAAAAGTTGATTCTATTTTCATTTCCTTACAAAAATGTCTAATGAAAATTAAAAAGCTATCCAGGTAAGCGTACCCCAACAATTTACATCTATGTAGGCTGGCAAAACAAAAGAAAACACAGGACTCACACTTGCAAGAATCATACCTGAAAGCTCTCACCTCAAATTTGATATTTATACAGATGGTAATGAAGCAGCCAAATGATACAGTCATTAAAAGAAATCTGTAAGGACAACTTTCCAAGACAGGACCAAACCCTGAGACTCCACCTTTCCCAGCAGAGCTCAACTGTCCCCCCTCCCCACAATGCAATGAACAAGAATGTCACATAATACACCCCTCTATCAGCTGCTGGTAAGCCATAGTGCTTGGAGACACTAGTCGAAACCAAGAGATAAGTTCTTGGCAACAGGTACATTTTATTTGGGAAAAAGCAGAAAGCAAACATCCCTCTAAAGATCCTGACAATGATCCTTGCAATGACTATTAGCTGGAACTGGTATACAATGTCTTTTTTTTTTTTTTTCCGTTGGAATCTCACTCCTTTACCCAGGCTGAATGGAGTGCAGTGGCACACATGCTCATGGCCACACCAGCACCAACCTCCTGGGCTCTGGCAATCCTTCTGCCTCAGTCATCCGAGTAGCCGGAACTCCAGAAGCGTGATACCAAGTCCAGCTATTTTTTATTTTTATTATAGAGATGAGGTCTCGCCAAGTTGCCTGGACTGGTCTCAAACCCGTAGGCTCAGGCAATCCACTTGCCTTGGCCTCCCAAAGTGCTGGGATTACAGGCTGAGCTACCAAGCATGGTCTTATAATGTCTTAAGCAGTTTCAAGAAATTGTGGTCTAACCTTTGATTCTACAAGTACTGAGACATACAACAATTTACCTGTAATATAGTGAAGTCAGATGATGAAGTATCTAAATTGTTTATAGTTTCTTTGTCCTCTACCTGTAAAATAAACGCAGAACACAGTTCACTACATCAGCAAAAAAATAACATAATGGTATATCTGTACAATGTAAAGTTAAGTCATGAAAATAACTTACAACACAATTTTAAACCCAAAGCAGGAATGAAAACAGCCTTATAGTATCGTTCCAGGTACACTGAAAGAAATGTTGTATACAAGTGTCTATTGGCAGATAGACCAGGAAATCCACTAAAATGCTATCAGTGAGTGTCAAGATGCAAGCCAAAGAAAAAAATCTAAGGTAAGCGGAAGAGATTAAAATTAGGTAGTACACAGACCCTGTAGGTGAAAGTGAACACCAGGTCTGGGGCTGCTCTTCCAGGAAAAGTGTCTAGAATCATGCTGCAGAGTAAAGTCTTGGGCCACCACTGCTTACTCAAGCCTGAATGCTGCCGATGTGGGGACTGCTGCTTCTGGGACAGCTTCTGCCCAGACCAAACAGCATTTCTCTCTTTCTTTTTTTTTTTTAATTGAGTTGGAGTCTCACTCTGTCACCCAGACTGGAGTGCAGTGGCTGCTCTCGGTCACTGCAGCCTCGACCTGCTGGGCTCCGGCGAACCTTCCGCCTCAGTCTTCCGAGTAGCTGGAACTACAGGCGAGCACTACCACGCCCGGCTGATTTTTGATTTATTGTAGAGATGAGGTCTCGCCAAGTTGTCGAGGCGGTTCAGGCAATCCACTCACCTCAGCCTCCCAAAGGTGCGGGATTACAGGCTGAGCCACCGAACCCCGTCAAACAGCATTTCTAAGAACCTGTCTTCTAGCATCTATCAACTTCCAAATCTGAGTTTAGGGACAGGAGCACAAAACTGGAAAAATCCAGGTGACCAATCTATGCCCCACCTGCAGGGGAAGAGTAACCAGCACATCGAGCTTATCTAAGAGATGGGCTCTGCCCAATAAGGCAAGGGATTCCCCCAAATAAAGGGGACTCAGATGCTTTGTGACGCAAAACTAGTTTTGGCTACACACTAAAAAGCTCTGAAGGTTGGTATACTTTTTAGGTATTTAATAATAAGAATGTATCATCATCACTTTTACTTAACTAGAAAAGACACCCATACATAATCAAAAAACTCAAAAGGTACAAAAGCCTATTCACTGGCTGAGCACGGTGGCTCAGCCTGTAATCCCAGCAGTTTGGGAGGCTAAGGCGAGTGGATTGCCTGAGCCCTCAGGTTCGAGACCAGCAACTTGGCGAGATCACGTGCACACTTGTAGTTCCGTCTACCTGGAAGGCTGAGGGGAAGAACCTCCGGAGCCCAGCAGGTGGACACTGGGGTGACCATGAATGTGTCACTGCATTCCAGCCTGAACGACAGAGTGAGACTCCAACTCAAAAAGAAAAAGCCTATTCATTAAAAACCACCCCCCACCACTCCTGTCACCAGATATGCTACACATGCAGGTGCTAAAGACTACACCCCCTATCCCCTACTGCTTGAGGCAGCACACCATTCTGAACCTGCCTGATTTTACATCCTTCTTGGAGACTGGTTTAGTTCATATAAACCTGCTTAGTTCATTTTGATGTTACAGAGCAATAACAACTGTGTTACTGAGAATAACAAATTTTTTTTTGAGTCAGAGTTTGAGCTTTGGAGTTTGAGGCTGCAGCTTGGGTGACAGTGAGAACTGTCTGTAAAAATAAACAAATAAGCCGGGCTCGGTGGCTCAGCCTGTAATACCTCGCTTGGGGAGGCTGAGGTGAGTGGAATGCCTGAGCCCGCGGGTTTGAGACCCGCCTGGGCAACTTGGCGAGACCTCATCTCTACAATAAATCAAAAAATCAGCCAGGCATGATAGCGTATGCCTGTAATTCCGTCTACTTGGAAGGCTGAGGCGGAAGGCTTGCCAGAGCCCAGCAGGTCAAGGCTGCGGTGGCCAGGAGCAGCCACTGCACTCCAGTCTGGGCGACAGAGCAAGACTCCAACTCAAAAACAAACAAACGAACAAACAAACAGCAAAACAAAACAAAAACACAGGACGGGTGCAATGGCTCATGCCTATAATCCCCGCACTTTGGGAGGCCAAGGTGAGAGAACTGCCTGAACCCAGAGGTTTGAGATCAGCCTGGGTAACTAGGCAAGACCTCATCTCTAGAATAAATAAAAAAATTAGCCAAGTGTGATGGCACACGCCTGCAGTTCCGGCTTCTTGGAAGGCTAAGGCGGAAGGATCGCCAGAGCCCTTCAGGTAGATGTGAGGTGACCACGAGTGAGCCACTACACTCCCAAAAACACAACCCCCCCACCCCCAAATGGGTAGATGGCCAGTTGATGGTTTGCTTCTACTTTAAGTCTGTGATAAGCTTAAATCCACTGAATCCTCCCCAAACCTGTGACTGAGGTACTGAGAGGTTAAATAATTTATCCAAGGTCACACAATAAATGACAGGCCTCCAGTCTATGCTCCTAACTCTTAAACTATACTGCTTCTAGACATTTAGGGTGTTTTCAGCTTTTGTTACAGAACATATGATTTTCCAATTAGGAGGGAAAAAACAGTCTTAAGAAAATGCAAGCCAGGTGTGGTGGCTCACGCCTGTCATCCCAGCACTCTGGGAGGTGGAAGCAAGAGGATTGGCTGAGCCTAGGGATTTGAGACTAGCCTGGACAACCTGATGAGACCCTGTCTCTACAATAAATCAAAAAAATTAAACAGACAAAAAAAAAAAAGAAAAAGAGACAGTGTGGTGAGACCTCAACTCTACAACAAATCAAAAGAATTAAAAAGACAATAAATTGAAAAAAAGAGAAGACATAGTGACAGAAATTATATACCTGCCCCCATATACCCTTCTTTTTTTTTTTTTTTTTTGAGTTGGAATCTCACTCTGTCACCCAGGCTGGAGTTCCGTGGCACACTCATGGCCACCCCAGCATCAACCTGCTGGGCTCTGGCAATCCTTCCGCATCAGCCTTCCAAGTAACCAGAAATAAAGGCATGCACTACCACACCTGGCTAATTTTTTGATTGACTGTAGAGATGAGGTCTCGCCAAGTTGCTCAGGCTGGTGTGGACACCCTGGGCTTAGGCAATCCTCTTACCTCAGTCTCCCAAAGTGCTAGGATTACCTGGCCAGTCACTGGCCAATCACTATGTGTTTCTGTTACTTTTTTGTAGGAAGCTGGTAAAGGAGACTCACCAAAAAAGCAAAAGTGCACAGCTTATTTGTATCAGAATAACAGCCAGTTCTCAAAACCCAATTCTCCATTCTAAGACTACAACCTGCTACCTCCAAAAACACCCAGTCTCAGTTCTGAAAAGAAATGCAAAACTATTCCAAGGAACGGCAGAGGATCGACTGGCACAGACCGGGGCTTCCTTCCTCCAGGAGGATGGCAGGACTCACTGCAGAGGATCCAAGCCCCGCCCCCCAACATGTAATGAGCCCTACACAGATGATGCGCAGTTTCTGAGGCTGCCTGTTCTGTATCCTGACCAACCTGAGTCCTCACGTAAATGAAACATTTAACATCAAAGTCACAGTATCAATATAACGTGGTGCCTGATCTTAATTCTCAGACATGAGTCTGATGTTCATTCTTCTCTCATTATAAACTATAACACCTCATGATACTTGTTAGCTCTTTACTCCCTAAATTCCACAACTGAACATGCGGCCAACAACACCTACAACTCATATTATGCTAAAAGGATTAATGCCTGGCAAGTAGAGTTCAAAATATAATACCCATTATAGTTTTATTACATAGATGATATGTTTCTTTCTTTTTTTTCTCTTGAGTTGGAATCTCACTCTGTCGCCCTGGCTGGAGTGCAGTGGCACACTCGCTGCCGCCACAGCCTCAACCTGCTGGGCTCAGGCGATCCTTCCACCTCAGCCTTCCAAGTAGCTGGAACTATAGGCATGCGCCACCATGTCTGGCTAATTTTTTTATTTATTGTAGAGACGAGGTCTTGCCAAGTTATCCAGGTTGGTCTTGAATCCATGGGCTCAGACAATCCCTCACCTCGGTCTCCCAAACTGCTGGGATTACAGGCGTGCACCATCGCACCTGCTGATACATATCTAACATGAAAAAAGAGGCTGGGTTTGAGGCCAGAAGTTCGAAACCGGTCAGTGCAACACTGCAAGACCAAGCCTGCCTGTACAAAATTAAAACATATTAAAACACATAAGCTGAAATGTCAAGATTTGTTTTAAAGGTTGACTGCTGGGAGGGTACCAGTTGGGTCCTCACAGAAAAAGACCAATTTCTAACTGCTCCCAATCTCAATATTTTCAAGGCATCCTAACACCACAGATCAACTTCCTGAAACAGGAGGGCTTTCAATAGTCCTCAAAATGTTTCATCCTGCATTCTGCAAATGGGTACAGCAAGTACTTGTGCAATATAAGAGATACCACTTTTCAACAACCCAAAGAGTATTTTCAGTATCATCTGAATTGTGTACATAAATGCATCAGCCATCATTCTTCGGAAGTGGCATTAAAGGAAATTACTCTCCAATATAAAACATTTCTTACGATATTTGTGAAGCTGACACATCAGGGTACGTTCTAGGGACATGGCCGAGTTACCTACAGCATGTTCCTGCAGCTGCTCCGTGAGCTCTTTCATCTCTCCCTCGACCAGTTCTCTGCTATCAGACAGGGACTCCTGGAGATTATCAGCATCATCATCCTCGACACAATCTGCAACGCTCCCATTGTCGATTTCTGCTTCATCTAGCACACTGATATCCATCATGTCGATGTCCTGCAAGTTCTCCAAACTGGTCTCAACATCCTCCTGTGACAAAGCAAAATAAAACTATCACGTGACTGCCACCAGTCCGCCCACCAAGCTGATTCACTCACCAGGTTATACATACCTGTCCGTCCCCTGAGTTTTCCTCAAGTCCGTTATCTTCCACACCCTCTTCTTCTGGTTTACGCCCTGAAGAGAGAACCATTTACAACATGAGATCGATAACATCTATTTTCCAGAAGCAAAAACCTCCATTTATTAATTTAAAGAAATTATTTTTTTCTTTAAAATTAAGACAGGGTCTCGCTACGTTGCCCTGGCTGATCTCGAACTCCTGGGCTCAAGCAATCCTCTGGCCACGGCCTCCCAAAGTGCTAGGATTACAGGTGTGAACCACCATGACTGGTCAACCTTCATTTTCATAAGCGCTGAGCACCATGTAAGTGAATACCGTAAACACCCATGGCACCTCCCAACCCAGGAACAGTGTGTGATCCAGAGATGGCCATTCCAGACAAACTCTCACCCTACCCTCACATGGAAGGGGTTCTGTTCTTATCAACTGGCTTGGAAGAGGAGGCGCTGGAAACAAGTTCTCAGTACAACTGATGCTGACCACACCTGTCCTGAGGCCTGCCCTTCTTGTCAAATGACTTTGTTCGTGGGGAGATGAGAATCTGACACAAACGTGGAACACCCTATGTCTTCCCACAGAAACAATGATATGAAGCAAAACCTAAAGAAGCAAAACGAAATGACAATTAGCACCTAGAGTTGGCCCTCATGTTCTAGATGGACAGGTTTCCTTCCATTATTTTGCTACACATAGTCATGTACTTTGCTTACAAAATGGCACTATACTACTGTTTGATCTTTTTTTTTTTTTTTTTTTTTGAGTTGGGAGTCTCACTCTGTTGCCCAGACTGGAGTGCAGTGGCCGTTTCCGGCCACCGCAGCCTCGACCTGCTGGGCTCCGGAGATCCTTCCGCCTCCGCCTCGCAAGTAGCTGGAACTACAGGCGCACGCTACCGCACCCGGCTAATTTTTTGATTTATTGTAGAGATGAGGTCTCACCAAGTTGCCCAGGCGGGTCTCGAACCAGCGGGCTCAGGCAATTCACTCACCTCAGCCTCGCAAGGCGCGGGATTACAGGCTGAGCCACCGAGCCTGGCTTTGTTTGATCTTTAACTTAGTATGTTGTGAACTGCTTTCCATTGTTTTTTAATAGCACTATATGGCTATAGATTAGTGATCTAATTAATACCAATTAATAAACAAGAGGGTATTTATAAATATTAATGTCCTAGTTGGGTGCAGTGGCTCACACCTGTTAATCCCAGCACTTTGGGAGGCCAAGGTGGGAGGACTGCTTGAGTCCAGGAGTTCGAGACCAGTATGGACAACACAGCAAGAACTCATCTCTGCAAAAAGTTAAAAAATTAGTCAGGTATGGTGGCACATACCTGTAGTCCCAGACACTCGGGTAGCTGAGGTAGAAGGATCTCCTGAGCCCAGAATGTCGAGGCTGTGGTGAGCCATAATTGTGCCACTGTACTCTAGCCTGGGTAACAAAGTGAGTCCCTAACTCAAAAAAAATATAAATGAATGTTCTGCTAACTATTTGCGTTTTTTTTTTTTAGTCAGTGTCTTACTCTGTCACTCAGGTTGGAGTGCAGTGACATACCCACGGCCACCACAGCCTCAACCTTCTGGGCTCAGGCTACCTTTCCACCTCAGCCTCCTGAGTAGCTGGACTTACAGGCACACACCACCACACCTGGCTAAATTCTTTTTTGTAGAAACAAGGTATTGCCAAGTTGTCCAGGCAGGTCTCAAACCCCTGGCTCTGGCAATCCTCTTGTCTCCACCTCCCAGAGTACAGAGACTATAGGTGTGAGCCACTGTGCCTGGCCTAGGAATTCTTTTTTGCATACCGGTAGTTATCATCTTAGGGCATATTTCTAGAAATGGCATCACCAGAAGACAGAATATGCGCATTTTTAAGTCTTAGAAAAAGAAACCCCCCCACCCCACCCAACAAAAAACAACCTGCCACATACCATCAAGATTCCCTAGAGGAAGGTTGTTCTGATTTATACACTTCCATCAACATTGGATAAAAATGCCAATCTTTCTGAATCTGAATTAAAATTGTCCGTTTTTCTTTATCCTTGCCAATGAGGTAGGCAAAATTCGAATACTTGTTTTAACCTGAATTTATCTGATTACTATTTACATTGAATTTTTGTGGTTAATCATCTGTACGCTTGTAGAAATTTCTCATCTATATTTTCCCCATTAAAACGTTTTTGTGGCCAGGCTTGGTGGCTCAGCTGTAACCCTAGCACTTAGCTGAAGTGAGTGGACTGCTTGAGCCCATGGATTCGAGACCAGTCCGGGCAACTTGGCAAGACCTCATCTCTACAACAAAAACAAAAATCAGACGGCATGGTAGCATAGGCAGCTCCAGCTACTTGGAAGGCTGAGGCGGAAGGATCGCTGGAGCCCAGCCGGTCGAGGCTGGGGTGGCCGTGAGCATGCCACTGCACTCCAGCCTGGGTGACGGAGACTTCGACTCAAAAAAAAAAAAAAAAAATTTTTTTTTCTTTGGCTAGCCGCCTCCCACCTCCCTGATCGAAACGTGAATATCACACACAATATATATTTCTTCCCAGCTCTTCACCAGTCTTTTATTTTTTATTTATTTTCAAAGCAGGATTTATTGAGAGGACAGAAAAGCTCCCACAGCAGGAGGGGACTCGAGGGGGTTGCCAAGTCTTTTAATTTCATTTACAGGTTTTGGGTAAATTTCACTGGTTCATAGCCAAAGCTATTAATTGGTTTTTAATGTGTCAATAATTTGTGCCTCTATGCTTAGAAGCCGTCCTCCACACTGAGCACAAAATATATACCTGTATTTTTGTTGTTTTGGGGATTTGAACACTTATTTTCTCAGTTTGGGGGTTTTTTTTTAGTAGAAGTTTCACGCTGTTGCTTCTTAGCCTGGCATACAGTAGCATGCTCACGGCCACCACAGCCTAGGCTTGCTAGGCTCAGGCAATCTTTCCACCCAAGTCTTGCAAACAGCTGGAACTACAAGAGCACATTACCATACCTGTCTAATTTTTTGATTTACTGTAGAGACGAGGTCTTGTCAAGTTGCCCAGGCTGGTCTCAAACCCCTGGACTCAGGCAATTCTCTCACCTCGGCCTCTCAAAGTGCTGGGATTACAGGCGTGAGCTACTGGCCTATACCCTCAGTTTTGTGCTGAATGGAACTATTTTCCAAATAGCCGTCCCATTTTAAACTGATTTCCCAACACCATTTACTAAATAACACTGCCCCCCTATCAATTTGAAATGTTAGCCGTGTTCAATATCATATTCCTACATATGTCTAGGACTATTTAATGTTTTGATTCTCTTTCACTGATCTGTTAATTCTTATTCTAGCTTTAGCTATTTGGCACTCTAATGTTTTTCTAAATATAAAGTACTGAGATTAACTCCAAGAAAAAAAACTAAGGCAATGACTTAACTCCAGGTTTTTCTTCAGGAGTTTAGTAATTAAGGTTTAGAAAAAGGGTTATGGGCTGAGTGTGGTGGCTCACACCTGTAATCCCAAACTTTGGGAGGCCAAGGAGGGAGGATTGCTTGAATCCAAGAATTCTGCCCCAACCTAGGCAACATAGAGAGACCTCATTGCTACAAAAACAAAAAAATTATGAAAGACATTAAGAGGCTAGATACCTTTTCAGGTTCACATTTCACTTTTTAGACAACAATGCTAAAAATAGGATAATCATTTCCCCCAATTCCCTTTACCCGATCTCCCAATTTTTCTTACTAATCAAGTATTTATTGGTAACATTCACAATCTGTTCCAGAGCCAACAGTTCACAGCGGGCAGGCATGTTGCCACTTTTATCCTAACAGGAGCTTTATATGGCCACTTGCCTTTAATTTTTATACAAATGATAAAATGAGTAGAAAACAGAAAAATGTAAACGATACTAGAAATAACAGAATGGAAGTAAAATGGAAATAGAAATCATTAGGCATGGCGAAAATCAAATTTTCGGTGTCAAGAGCAGGCTTGCTATAAAATTAAGAACATGTCTTAAAGCAAGGTGTTACGTAGCATGGCACGTGTTTTAAAGCTACTGCTGAGACATAGCTTTCTAGAGCTTTTTCATCAAGATGGTTCTTAGCTTTTGGAAAGACACGGGAGAGAAGCTGACCTCTGAAAGGACAGACCGAGAGCAGAAAGCCATATTTTAAATCTTGTTCTCAAACCCTGACACGATGATGAGAAAGTAGACGCTACTGGAGAAATCCATTTTTTATCTTGTTCCTAAACCCTAACACACAATGAGAAAGTAGAGACTATGTCCGGGAGAAATACACGCTCTAGGTAAAGATTAACTTTGCCAACTTTGTCTTTTCAGAAACACAGACTCCTTAAACATGACCGGTACCAGCCTATTGTAGTCTTTTTAGAAACTCGAATTTCTCAAGCATGACCAATACTGACTCATTGTATACTCAGTTTCTGGTGACCAGGAACCCCCTCAGGGTCTCCAAGATATCCACAAGTGGTCAACAAGGAAGTCACGGCAGTCAGGGCTGGAGGGCTACAGTGACACACTCATCTAGAGTGTAGGCCTGCTTACTGTCTGTGGGAAGTGATCCTTTCTTAAATAAATCTTTTCTTCTTTCACCTCTCTGTGTTGCAAATCTTTGCATTACTTGGTTCTCTGGTTACCACACATACCTCTGGCATGCCGGTTCCAGTGGTGCTGCGCCCCTTCCCATCCATTCATCCATCCCCTCTCACCCTCGGTACCCTAACAACTTCCACATAACCTTGGGAAAAAATCACTCCCTGCTTTATGCCTTTCTCCCAATACAAAGATCAATTTTTTTTTTTTTTTTTGAGACAAGGTCCCACTCTGCTGCCTAGGCTGGTGTTCAGTGATGTGATCGTAACTCTTTGTAACCTTGAACTCCTGGGCTCAAGTAATCCTCCTGTCTTAGCCTTCTGAGTAGCTGGGACTACAGGTGTGTGCCACCTCGTCTGGTTCATTTTTATTCTCTAGAGACAGTCTTGCTATGTTGCCAAGGTTGAACTCCTGGCCTCAAGACATTCTCCCACCTTGGTCTTATATATCACAGTAAATAAGAATTTT